TTTATTTCACTTTTACAATAACAAAAAATAATCCTAAAAAAAAATGATATTCAAAATTCCAAACATAGTTACTTTTCTAAACTATTTATTTAAGTAAAAGAACTTGAAAATTAGAATATGCGAATAATACTGTTAGTAGCCATTATTGCACTTAGTTATGCTAAAGTATTAGATGCAGAGACATTAGTAAAACTTCAAAAATTATCACTTGGATGTCATTTAAATGGAGTAGTATATTATACATCAAGTCAATGGTTTGAAGAAGAAAATAAAACAAAGCATTCATTAAAGAAATTAACATTAACTGAAACTGAACCAGTTGATTTAATTCCATATAGTGAAGAATCATTTTCTAATTTTGTTTGTCTTAATGAAGGTGTTTATTTGCTTCATAATGGACAGATTGCAAAAATAGAGAATGACAAGATTGTAGACGTTACTTCTACACCTATTTCTATTGACACATTTAAAATGATTTCTGTTGATGGTAAATTAAGAGGACTTGCATCAATGACTGTTTTCCCAGGAATGACTCTTGAAGAATCAGCAAATAAATTTATTGAATTAGAAAAACAAAATTATAGAGTGTATGACCAATTGATGATAAGAAGATGGGATACTTATTGGGATGGACAATTCCAACATTTATTTACTTTTAAAGAAGAAGAAGATAATTCATTTACATTTAAAGATATAATGAATGATAAGAAATATGATTGTCCTGCACGTCCATTTGGAGGAAATGAAGAATATGATATTAGTCCAGATGGAACAAAGATTGCATTTTCTATTTTATTAGAGAATCCAGCATCATCATTAGATAATAACGTTTATTATGCAACATTTGATAATCCATTAGAATGGAATTGTATTACAACTGAAAATAAAGGATATGATAATCAACCATTATTTAATAATGATGGAAGTCTTTTATATTATCTTTCAATGTCAGCACCTAAAGATGAAAGTGATAAATCAGTATTAAAATCGTATGACTTTAATCAAAAAGTAATTAGAGATATTACTGGGAATATTGATTTATCATTTAGTGCACCAATGAAAGTTGTTGGTAATTATATGCATCTTTCTACTCAAATTGAAGGAAATGTATATATTGTAGGATTAGATACATCTAAGTCAGAATTAACTCGTGAAGATGTTAATATTATAACACAAAAAGGTACTGCTGGTTCATTTGTTTTTACAACAACAGGAATGATTTATGAATATAATTCATTTACTCTTCCACAAGAATTATTCCTTTATGAAAATAAAATTATTACACAAATCACTCACATTAATCAAGAAGTTCTTTCTACAATTAAATTTGGCGAATATAAAGAAATTCATTATACTGGAGCAAATAATGATCAAATTCATGCATTTATTACTTACCCACCAAATATGAAAACAAACATAAAATATCCAGTAATTTTATATACACATGGAGGACCAGAATCACCATGGACTAATAATTTCCATTATAGATGGAATCCACAAGTAATAGCAGCACAAGGTTATATTGTTTTTGCACCAAATTTCCATGGATCAGGAAGTTATGGAGATGCATTTTTAAAAGCAATAAGAAAGAATTGGGGAGGATGGCCATTTGAAGATTTAATGAAAGGAATGGATTATTTAAAAACTAGTGAGCCATTAGTTGATATAGATAATGCATGTGCTATGGGAGCAAGTTATGGAGGATATATGATGAATTGGATTAATAGTCAAAATACAGGTAGATTCAAATGTATTATTTGTCATGATGGTATTATGGATTCTGAAGGTAGTTATTATTATATGGATGAAATGTATTTCCTTGAAACTGAGTTTGGATATCCAATGTATGAAGATGATACTTATTATAAGAAATATAGTCCATTAAATTATGTTAATGGATATAATACTCCTCAACTAACTATTCATGGAGGTTCAGATTATAGAATTGATGTTGTTGCAGGATATCAACAATTTGTTACATTACAAAGAAAGAATATTGAAAGTAAATTAGTTATTTATCCTGAAGAAAATCATTGGGTATTAAGACCATACAATTCTATTGATTGGCATGCTCAAGTCTTTGATTGGCTTGCCAAATACCTTCCAAAGAAATAATTTTTAACTCTTTTTTATTAATTTAAATTACAATATTTTTAAAGAAGTTAAATTTAAAGAAATTAATAAATTACATTTTATTTTAATTCATATCTTTCTTTCTTCTCTCTCTTTCTTTTTAACTTTTAGAAATATTTTTTAATGTTTCAGTACATTGAATTTTTCCATTAGCATCTAAAATTAATGGATATTTTGATATAAATTCATGATATTCTTCTTCATTTGAGAATGAAAGAAAATCCATAACATCATTAACTTCAATAACTCCACCAATAGACATAAATAAAAGCATAAGACCTTTTAATCTAACTTTTTCTATTGCAAGTTTCATTATTACTTTAAATTTAGGAATAGCTTCTTTAAATAATTTAAGGTATGTAAAATATTCTCCATTATCAAATGCTCGTTTTACATTTAATACAAATTGAATATTTGGATTTAGTAATATTTCTATTGGAATTTCTCTTAATAATGAATAATTAGTAATTGGAGAAACATTTTTTGAATCCATATTACAAAGAATCATTGCTGATATATAAAAAATTACTTTTGGATTATCATTTGAATAACCAAATTTTTTATATAACTGTTTGAGTGCTGATGCACATTGAATAAATTCAGAAACATCATTCTAATATAAGTTAATATTAATTAATTTTATTTGTTAATAAAATTATTAAGTATATTAATGTATTTAAAAAGAAAAAACAAACATTTTCTAATGAAATATCTGAATGTATTTCATATACTTGAATTGAAAATTCATTTTCAATATGTTGTAATGTTAAGTCTTGTCTAATTGCTTTTAATTGATCACAAATATAATCATATTTCTTATTTTCTTTATATTTTGTTAATACATAATTTAATGATTTATAAAGTACTTGTAATGGTCTAACTTCTGATGACTTTGCTTCTCCTTTAATTCTAAAATAATGTTTTTCTAATTCTTGTGACGTTCCAATTAAGTTATCATTTTCATCCTTCAAATTAACTTCTGGTTGTTTTTGAGTTGGTTCAACTTCTTTTAATTTATTAACACCATCATAAAAGTCTATAAAAAACTTATCTTTTGGTTTCTTTGTCATTTGACTTTTTATTGGATGATGTGAATGTGTTATTTTCTTTTCACTTTCATTATTTAATTTTTCAGTAATTGTTTTAATCTCTTTTGGTTCTTTTGGTTTTTTATAATACTCATCCTTACCTTTGGGATATTGTTTTTGTTTTAGTTCAATTTGGGGTTCTTCTTCTTTAAATATTGACTCTCTTTTATGATATGGTTTAGTACCTTGAACTGGTACTATTTTGGGTTTTGAAGTTGATGATAATGTATTTGGTTTCTTTGTAGTACTTCCCCCATAACTTATTGTTTTTGGTGTTTCTTGTTTATACCTATTATGTTCTGGTTTATATTTATTGGTTAATTGATGACTTTGTTCATACTCATTTTGTGATTTTTGGTTATAAACAACTTGGTGTGGTGAAACTAGGTTTGGAATTAGAGAAGTATTTTGAAATGTGGAAACAAAAGGTGATGAATAATATGATATAGGTTGTTGGTTGATAGAAGAATATCCATTAAATGGTGTTTGGTATATATTTGGATATGTTGTATATTGACTGTAATATGATGATTGTGAAGAAGAAGGTAAAGAAGAAGAATTTATTGCGTAAGGATAATTAGATGATATAAAATTATATCCATTTTGCTGTTGTTGTTG